CGATAATTTGATAATACAATAAGATAATTTGAAAAAAAAATGGTAACAGAGCTCTATATCGTGGGATATGAACACTTTTCAAGAAAAAATGTATTCCATACTATAATATAAATAATGTATAACAGCATTATTTTTTATGTAAATGCCGTTATTAAAATCAAATCAGCTGTTAAAGCCTAAACCTGCCACATTTTAGGACATTCAGTGGCCAGCTTAGAATCAAATGAGCCTATACTATTTAGATTTATTTTCGTCACTTTTTTTCTCTCGCATTTTTGGATTTTTAAAGAAATCTTGATTGAGTAAATTTAGTTGTTAGATAAGGACATTTTAGGAATCTCCACTTTTTCCACATATTGATCCATTTTAATAAAATAAATTATGAAATATTCGAAAATAAAATATTAGAAAGAAATTTATTAGTTTAATTGAATTTAAGAAATTTTATCATGTAAGCATTAATTCTCCAATTAAATCAGTTTTCATCTATTTCTCAGACAAAAATACAACACCAGTAACGGAGCTCACTTTGACTTTTAGAAATTTAGTTTGTTCAAAATATCAAAAAGATACTTTCATAAACTTTTTTTTTCGGCAAATGAAATCAAAACTAAGTTTAGTGACATATATATATATAACAAAATAATATTAACTCACCAGGAGAGGTCCATTTAAAACTGTTACTACATCTGATTCTGTCAATGTCCCTGATTTGTTGCTATTGAAGTATAATTTTTTTTCTATTTTATAAGATACAGTATCGCCTTCGGTGAACTCAATATCCACCTTATATCTGATTTGCCTGCAACACTCACTAATAGTTAATAATGAACAAAAACCATAAATGAGTTTGATCGTTGTATTATTAAGGATGGAGATGCTCTGGGGTGTCGGTCATAAATAGACTAAATAGTGGCAAAACTATTTTATTAAAAACCAACGTTTCGACCCAAGTTTGCAGGTCCTATTCAGGGAGATGTGTTCATCAAGGAGTTTCACTTAGAACTCCTCCTCCAAAAATAACTGAAACTCCTTGTTGAACACATCTCCCTGAAGAAGACTTGCAAGATCGGGTCGAAACGTTGGCTTTTAATAAAATAGTTTAGCCACTATTTAGTCTATTTATGACCGCCAGCTCGGACCATCTCCTTCCTTATTTATTTATTTTCACATTATTTCTGTTATTAAAGTTTTAATTTTTCTAAAATAAAATACATAAATCTTTATATTTTACTTTATTAATTATTTTTACTTGGTACTTATCTATTAGAGGAATTTATTTAATATCTACTGTTTTTTTTCTATTTTATTTATCTCTTATTATTATTTTGTCTTTATATTTATTTTTTCTACGCATTTATTACTTTGTTTCATTCTTATTAGTATGTTCTATAGTTTGTATATAGTTCCATTAGTTTGTTAAATTATGCTTTGTTAATTTACATAAGGTTTTTTTTTTTATTAATTTAATGTAACTTTTCTTATTTAATGTAGTTTATAATTTAAATACCTCTGGCCTTGATGTATTTCTTTTGTTCTGTAAGTTTCTGTTATTCTTCATCCCAGAATGAAGTTAATTTTCTATTTCTATTTCTAATTATTTATAGATTTTTAAATATTAACACTCAATCATTCTCTACGTTATTAATTAAATTATTAATTGGTATATTAACAGTTGTGATAACTGCCTTACTCGTAAACATAAGGTCCCACTTCTTCGACTCTAGCAATTCCTCCTTCACTAAATTCTTCAGGATTCGTAATATTAAAAATATAAATTTTGAATTCACCTGGTTGCGGTTTGTATAAAGATTCCATTGCTGGTGTACCATTATTTAGGAGCATTAACTGAAAGAAATACAGTGGTATGGAAACATGTATAAATTAAATGTAATAACTAATTTTATTAAACAAGTTAGGGATTAGTTAATAAACGATTCAATATTAGTTTTATCTTATTTCATGACCTATTTTCGCTCATTGATGTGCTAACATATTGTCCTATAGACATCTATATTTAAAATGCAGTTCATTCGAATTTCCCCAAAATTGGCAGAAATTTGGACAATAATGTGCAAATGGGATACGCAGATGATATAGCTGTCCTTGGAAGTAATTAAGAGGATATTGAGAAACTTACTAAGACTCCGATAAGAGAGACAGAGCAGATCCGCCTACAAGTAAATGAACACAAAACAAAATATATAATAATAAGCCGAAAATTCCACCCCAATAACAGGATCTGTGTAGAAGGAAAATCATTCCTGAGAGCATAAAAATTCAAATACCTCGGCTCCACAATAACCTCAATGAATGATCAACGGGCAGAAATAGACCACCGTATAACCAACGCAAACAGGGCTTTCTTTTCCCTTTCAAAGGTATTGAAATCCCGAAAAATCTCAAATTAAGGGTGTACAATGCTATGATAAAGCCCAATTCTAATATATGGCTGTGAGACCTCGACACTAACTAGCACCGTAGAACTGTTGAAAGATTTGACACGATAACCAGAGCGATCTGGAGTCAGGGTACTAACGCATGGAGAAGAAAGACCAATAAAGAACTGCTTACAGAAATTGGTCAATCCCATGATATGAACGCACGGAGATTAAGATGGACAGGGCATGTAGCTCGTAGCAATCCATATGGAAGACTCTACGTAGCAATGAATGCCTTAATAGCAGGCGAAAGGACCACGTGGAAGGCCAAAAATCAACAAAGTGGATCAAGTTATGGATCTTTCATAACTTGTTTGCCTGAATTTTCTGGATGATTGGACTATTTTGCCAGCCTGAAGGAGAAGGAAGCCTTCGAAATTGGTGGCTCAATCTTGAGATTTGGTGAAAAATTAACGATGATATGGCTTGCCGATCAAAAACACCATCGATAAATAATATAAACTCCTCCTCTCTCGATCATAGAGACCTCAAGTCGATGAAATGAGACATGTGTTCAATGACAGTACTACAATTAATGTAAGGTTGTGTGGATGCGAACTCTATGCACTGCATTATCTCGAAAATAGTACGTTTTTGGGGTTAAAAACGCAGGATCCGATAGTTCCGGAGGAACTATCCGGGTCTTGCTGTACGCATCAAAATTTTCAAGATCCAATTTGTCCCGTATCGATCTACAGACCTACCACCGTTCCAGTATTGAAGCCTAGCAAAATGTTTGTATCGACGTTATTCATTTTAGAAAGAAAAACAAAAGTGGAGAATACGATTCGCTAACCCCCCGTTAAATTCTGAATCCAACGGTACTCCATTCATGGTATTTGAGCATGACAGGAGCTTATATTTGGTACAAAACCGATTTCGAGCTTTACTGTATTAATATATGTATGGATATTTAAAATTAATGCATATTTTCTGAGAAATAAATACATCTTCTGTAGGGTTACTACAGATAAGAAAAAAATATATTAATATTTATTATTATTGCTACAAAAGTTAATAATACCCACGTTTCGCAGCTGTCTGTCTATCAGAAACGGATATAAGGTCCATCCAAGATAACGGAAAACAAGAGCAATAAAGAAACCTATTCCTCCTGTAAACAGTATTTGATTCATTCTCCTGAACGATAGGCGATGTTCTCCCTCCATCTAAAATATTTTTAGATTTCTGTAAAAATCTAGATTTATATCATTGTTTTAATAACAATATCTGGAATACAGCTAATTTTTAGTGTCATTTCATCAAAGTAACGTGATTAATACCATTCACTTACCTTTATTTCAGATTTTACGATTCAATCACTTAACATAAAGATTTGTATCACGTTTAGTTGATTAGAACAACTTGATTTGCTATAATTCTATAAACTATTAATAAGGCTGATTTCAAAAGTAAATTAAACATTCTATCATAATTATAAATAATAAACGCATGTTTTAAGAATTTTAACCAGAACCAAATGAGAGTCTCCCTATCACTGAAATACTCCATATTTCACCACAATGAGCCAACAGTATATTCATTTTTAATTTCAATTTGAATGCTTTGGTTTTCTTTTTTGTACAAAGAATAATATTTTAATGTAATTATATTTGTTATTTAGAACTCGTTAGTTTTGACGGATATCGATTGCTATCTAAACATGTCATTTTCTGGAATAAGTAACGAGCAAAGAGTAAGAGTGTTGCAACATCGAGCAATTTCCGATATTCCTTATCGATATCAATTTTGCTTTAATAAAAATAACGATAATTACTTTGGAAAAAAATAATATGAAATGTCGTTTAAGTGATTCCTAAAGTCCTTTTAAATGTAATTACACGAACAACAATACTAAGAGATAATTTTTTTTCCAAAAAAAAGTGGTTATATTTTACCATTTGGGGAAGAAGGCTTCAGCCCTAAAGCCCCTCCCCTCTCGTAGATCCACCTGTGGCATACATGGATAATTTATACATAAAGTCGAAATTCACAAAAACGTTCTTAAAAGTTCAGCTCGATCAAAAATGTATTTAGTAAGTTTTTGCTCTAAGCCGACATCAGCTGTTTTCTTTGATAGTATTGTAACTCCATTTTCTAATATATGAAGATATTTAAGGTTTAGTATTTCAATGACTTAAAAAAAATTGCTATGTGTATAAATACGTTAATTTTATGTTTTTTTAACCAAAAATTTAAATTAGAGGAAGAAGATGGACTGGTGTGGAGGAAGAAGGATCCTTTTCTCTAAGGAGCCTCACTAGTTCAGACTTGACTCTATGGTGCTGGCATGTTATGAGGAGGGAGTTGTTGGGGCATTTTCCCAGCACATGGGCTGGTGTTACAGACTTTCTAACGCAATTACGACTGAGTATCAATATTACAATTCCTATAATTGTAAATAATTATATCAATTACTTCTAATATCACAGGACGTATCTTTGTGAGGGGCGCCGTCTAGAGGGGGTAAGTAAGTCCCGGAACAGGTATTGGTTGACAATGTTAATCTTCTCGGTTTAAGAAGGCAAGAACTTACCAATTTATCCAAATTATTGTTCAATTTGGTCACTATTTCCATGGTATAAAGGTTCCATTTTCAAGGTATAAAGTAATTCATTGATTTATAATAATTTATTTACAAGATAATAAGTTTTTTTTAAATACAATTTTTACAATTTGGTAAATATGATTATATTAAAATCTATTATCATTATTTACCTACTCCAGTATTATCTTACTAACATAATAACGACGCCAGTTTTGTTAAATAAAAAAATATATTTAGAGAAAACATATGTATCACCTAGTGTCAATGGTGCTTCTAGCATGCCAAACATCAAGTTTATGATTCTAAAACGTGTTGGTCTCTTCTTGATTGTAAATATTGACTTCTTGTTTACTTTATACAGTTCTTCTAAGTTGTATGAAACTTTTCATTTGTGATTATTATTATTTTTCATAAAAATACAATCTAGTGAACATAAAAATACTATGTACATAAAATCTAATATTCATAAAAGTACAAATACAAGCTGTAAAATACATTTAGCTCTCAGATCCCTTTTATATATTTTACTTTTAATAACTTATTACTAGATTAATTATTATAAAACTTAAAATTATCACAGTTATCTATTCACTTTGGTAGAAAACAAATCTTTGTTTAACTTACTGAATATTTGAATAAATAAGAGTAGAAAGTTTCATAAGATAGTTTACATATGGTATAAATTATAAAATCATAAGAGCATTACTCATGTTAGAATTATTAATTTAAAATACACTGATTAGGTAGTTTAATGTTTTCATTAAAATTTCATAATTCAAAAACAAACCATTCATTAATAAATTAGGCAGTTGAATATGAGTAGACAAAGCATTATATATTAATCCATTCGTTACAATTGTGATATGATTAATTTACACAAAAAGGTGTGTAAGATAATGATTATCAATTTTATTAATTATTTGTCATCCTAATATTTTACAGAATGTTAATATAAATTACTTAAGGGTTTTCAAAAATATTTTATAACTGATCCATATAATTATAAAAATAAAATTATGTACATCTCTTTTTCCATTACATCAAATATTTTTTTAATGTTTTAATAAAATATTAATTTAATTTCAGATCGTTCTGTATTAAAATATTTAAATAACATTAAATTTAAGATATAACAACATTTTCTTTATTTTGTTCATATTTAATTTATTTAAAGTAAATGTTCTAGTAATAGACACTTAATGAGAAATTTTTAACGTTAATGATAAACAGCTTTAGTTCTGATGGTGGAGTTTGTTGCAAATGGGTTTAATGGTAAGCAAATTTAGTCTTTTATAGATTTTTTTTTCTATATAGTCAATTAAGTAAATTATTCATGAAAAACATGAAATTCCGTCAGCTTTTATTGTGCTAGTAATACCCAAGTTTCTGGGTATTAGATTTTCTAACTAAAAAAACAAAAATAAATATTGCACAATTTTAAACTAAGAAATTGTAAATTACAGATAGATGAATGAAAATTTTAAAATTATCACCTAAAGAAAGATAATAAGAAATCCTTCCTGAAACAAACCCTAGCCTTGCATCATTAAAAAATCTACGTCAATCGGCTACTGTGGAATGATATCACTTGAGGTTCAGGTATCACCCTCATAAGTGTTCTAACTAAAAACAAACTCATATTTTTACTATTTGTAAAAAGCTTGTTATTAGTTAATGAGTTAAAAATTGCCTATTACTATTATAGTGTCTATTACTGGAATATTTGCCTTATATTTCTATTACATTTTCCCAATGAATGAAGTAAATATTAAAATTTTTGAACTGTTATCCTGTCACTGGCAACTGTATTTGGTAAATCATAGGATATTCTTTTATCAACTGTATCCGGATCTTTTCTAGTAGCCATTCCAGGGCCTATTAAGGATATGTTAGAAACTACCTGATTTTCCTTAACGCATGCAATTTTTCTGTGTTTTAAATATAAAATTAAAGCTACCAATAAACAAAATAGTCCTATTCCAATCAAAAGACCTGTGACGCTCATAATTATGTGCGTAGTACTCATCATTTCTTTGATATCGGGCAAATATGTCTGCACTAGTTCTTCTGTTAGGGCCTGTAATGGTATAAATATATTGATTAAAATTTATTAACAGAAATAATGAAATCTCAGTGGAACAAGTTTTAATGAAATATTTTTCTAAATAAAATATTTGTAATTTTTTATTTCCATACCTCTTCTAACCAAAGTAAGGGAAATAATCCTTCACTTATGTTAGCAAAAACGTCTACATCATTCAGCCGTTTCAAGAATATATTCATTTGTATTCTTTTGAATGCTGCCAGAGGAACACCAGTTCTCTGAAATTTAATTCAATGGAAAGTTTAATGAAGAATCTGTTCTGTTAAATTTTAATATATTCCAATATTAATAATAGATCAGAAAAACTATCTAAAAATATATCATCAAATCTACTTTCACTTTCTGAAATATTAAGACTGAAATAACTACAGGCAGTATTAGATTTTTTTTAAGACATATTTATTAGTTTGTAATTTTTTTTAAAGTTCATGAAATAAATCAATTATATACTGCTAAAGTAAATTATCTTTTCCTACTCACAAAATTGTAAGTGTTAATGGTCACGAAATATATTTTTCTTTCTTAATTTTTAAATTTAATAAGTAGAACTATTTTGAACTTCAAATTAAAATCAATTTTAAATAAAAATTATGTGATTTAAATATTAATTATTACTATTATCATTTTGTAAATAGTATGATTTTCTGTTGAGTCATTGTTCCTTCGGATAAGATATTAACATCTATTTAATTTTTCTTCTGCTCCCTATTCCAATGCAATGCATACTAAATTATAATTATATTGCTTATAGATTATAGATATATTACTTATAAATTCCAATACTCCTTTTATTTTTACAAATTAGAAAATCATTGCTATTTTGTTAATATGAATTATTTTTTCTGACAATTTAATTTAAATTATAAATGCCTTTTTTTAATGCCTTTTTTTATTTTATCATTTTTTTATTTTATCTTATGATAGTGCCAGCTCATCTGCTGATTGTCAATGGTTGTAATTGACAAGTGCAGATCAATAAATAAAAGTGCTAAAAGAAAAAAAAAATTATAAATGGTTAGAAATGTACTGTGTATACAATTTTTGCTCTTAATTTTATTATTTGTAAATTCGATAAATTAAAATGTAATTACCGGTTCAATAAAAACTTCTGTTTGATGCTTGTCATAATCTCTTTGATATCCTTCTACAAAGTTTTGATAATCAGGGTGAGCAAATAACATGTGTGGATAAGTAAATACCACTGGTGCACCTTCAAAATGAAAAACAAACACAATTTTTATAATACAACAAAATAATTTTGTAGAGGATCCTTCTTCAATATAATCTAAAAATCAATTTAGTTTTATTTCACCTTATTTATTAATTTGATGCTAGTATTTTTAATTTTCTGCAGTATGGATAGAGTTATGAAAATAATAAAATCATAAACTATGATACTTATGAAACTATGACAAATAACTTTAACTATGATAAACTAAATATTATTCTTGTATTATGTATTTATTGAGCTTCACGCTTCTTAGAAAACATATATTATTGAATTTTCAGAAAAAAAAAATCAATATTTACATTATTGAAAAACCTATAGTGAATGAATGCTATTTTACAATAAAATCAAATTGACTCACAATACTCACTCATAGTACTTGAGTGAGGACAAACTTGAAAAGCTTATAGAAAATTAACAGAGTGGATCAAAAAGATTAGCATGGAACCCTCATACCAGACTTAAAAGGCACATACTTAACTAACAATTTGGCCAATTATAAAGAGTACTTAACAAAAACTCCAATCTATCAATTGAAATAAAATTATTAATATACAAAATCATACTGAAAACAACCTGAACCTCCAGAACTGTTGGGGACAGCTAAATTTTCGAACATCAAACACATCCTATCCTTCCAGTTTAAAGACTTTTGTACAATAGTCAATGCTCCATTAAACTCAATGCTCCTTTACACCACGACCTCAATATCGCTTATGTCATTATTCCCTCTGATTCTCAAAATTTTGTCATAACTTTATCCACCATCCTAATCCCTTCATACAATTTTTATCCTTTTTTTCTTTCCCCAATGCCAACGTCATTGGTCATTGAGTCATCCGACAATATTGCTACCCAGTATAAATTAGATTTACTTATATATTGATTTAAAAATGTCTCTTTTTCCCGTCAAGCCAGGACATGTGTCTATATGGTCTGCATCCATTCTTTCTTCATAACACAATTTACTCCTAGGATCCTCAGCCACGCCCATCTTCTGCAGATGATTCTGCAGATAGTCGTGACCAGTGACCAGGTGGAAGTAGGCTACTGCATCTCTTCTCGGTAGCTCACCTGGGATCGGATTATCTATCAAACACTCATAGTGTTTCCCTTCCACCTTGCCCAAATGTGCTTTTTTAATTTCTTCCTTCACTACCATTTTTACCATTCGCCGTACTGAATCGTAAGGTTTTGAGGCAAATCTGTTCCTCCCTTGGCAAAATATCAGCCTCAATGTTTCCAGAAATCCCTGGTAATCCACTGCAGGATCACATTGGTTCCCTGGAGTGTTAGGTTTATCCAGCTTCAGCCATTTCTGGAATCCTCAGCAGAGATCTTTTGTAAATATGCCATTGGAGTTCTGGCAGTGGTCAGCTTCTTCAGTCAAGTCATGAGCGTCTGTGGCTTTATTGCTCTCTCTAATTCTCCACTGGATTCCTATCCCAGTGACAAATTTGAGAGAAAAGTGCTGAGATCTCTTAGAGTCTTGCCTTGCCCTCCTAGGCTATATCTAGGGAAAGGGCCAGACCCACAGTGTCTGTCAAAATTTGTTAAGTTTTGATTCATTATTTATTTAACTGTTTAATGAAAGAATATTTATTTTGAATAATTAGGCCTTACTTTGAGAACAGTAAAATTCTATAATGCTATCAGAATAATATAATTGGACCAGGATCTCCCAGAAAACATTTTGATGATTAATTTCATAGATACTGTAAGAGTAAATTTTATATGAAGTTTTGTAGTTTTTATGCAGGTTTATTTGTACATTTATTTTATGTCTGCTAAAAATATTTTGAAAAACTTAGGTTTAACATGTCAAATAATTTTTCACCTCAACCCTTTTATAAATTGTCACTAATTGCAACTGTGAAGTTGACCAATCACATACCTATGTGTATATATATATTTTTCTATGTTTATGTTAGAAAAAAGAATAATAATAATCTCTTTGGGTCTTACCTTGGCATTTAGATGCGTCTATTGCTCCATCATGGAGGCATTTAGGAGGAGCTTTAGGGTCATCTTCCTGTTTCTTACATCGGCATAAATTGCTTGGATTATTATTCCCAGAATCGAAATTGTGAGTTGATGCAAAATATTGATAAACATCAATTCCATACATACTTGTTTCTCTTTTCATGACAGCTTTTAAAGACCTAGCGCACGATATTACATTAATAGTGAATTCCCTACTTTTCCTTTCTGGTTATAATTCATAAATGTTCATATGATAAAACCTTTTTTCAAACATTTAATCTTATTAAACACGAAGGAGAGAAATAAAATCATTCTTATTCATTTAATATTGACACTTACAAACAAACCTCAGGTAAAAATATGTAGATATCTTCATCTTTGCTTGGAATCGGTGGGAGAATAGTTGAATCAGTTCCTTTTAGTTCACTGCATGTTGTATTCTTATCCCACATAGTTAATTCTGTGTGATTATCGTATTTGATAATCCTCCCTAAATCATAAACATTTTTGTTACCTCTTTTGACCTTGAAAACTCCTGATAGGGATGTATTTGCCTGAAATTGGTTTTAAAAAACAATAGTAACTTTTTTAAATGTTCAAAATAACCTCATTATTTTATAGTGCATAAAAATATGATACAAATTTTTCTTACATCAGAGAAATAACTGAATGCAAAGTCTCGAGATAATGGAATTTCTTTGAGCGATGGAGGTCGATTTCTCTTGATTCCTTGGCATACAGGCATTGCAGGGCCTTTTAAATAATCACACTTTATTCTAACACCATTGAAAAGAAGATCTCCGACCGATGTTGTAACAAAGATATTTTTTAGTCCAGGAAATAAAAGAGGAGCTGAAGTATTTATGAAAACCAGTCCCATTGGAAACCGTTCTTCTATACTGTATGCTGTTCCCTGTATATAATTGTTAAGTATTATTAAAGTTAAAGAATAAATAGTTCAATTGTTAAACTGCAAATATTTTCATACTATAAATATATACATAATTCTTATATGGTAAATGTACCAGTAATAGACACTGTACCTGTAATAGATAGTTTTCAACTCATGTGTTTATTTGTTTAGTTATTTCAACGTGTAATAAGCTTTATAAACCCTAAAAGGAGTGCAAATATGAGTAAATTTGAAGCTAGAACACTTAACAAGGTGATGCCTGTACCACAAGTGGTATAACACCACAATAGCCGATTGGTTGATTTTTTTAACAGAGCAAGGAATCTTTGTTTCAGAATGTTTCCTTATCACTTTTCTTTAGAAGATAGAGAAATTTTGATTCAATCTTCGATAGTTTTCATTTCCTTATTTTAAACTGTGAGGAATTTATTTTGAGGTTTTTAATTATATTAAAAAACCTGTTGACTCCCAAAACCTGGGTACCTGTTACTGGTGCAAAATACGCTGTCAGAATTTCCTAAGGTTTTCATGAATAATAATTCACTATCTAATAATAACTAATTGACTATCTAGAAAAAATGAAATTGGTAAAAGACTAAATTTTTTGTCAATTAAACACATTTCAAAAAGATCCGTCGTCAGATCTGTAGTTGTGGCTCACATTAATTTTGAAAATTTCTGTGTCTAATATTGGTAAATTTACCTTAAATGAGTACAAAAATAATGATCAATCTTGAAAATCTAATTGAAGTAATCTTCGACTTGGCTTTATTGTTTGTTAATGAAATGTTTATTTATTCTGTCTATATAGTTTGTTTGTTGTTGTTTATAGATTTAAAACTCCCAGTTCATCAACACCTTGAAATACTACTTTAATGAATTTTTTTAAATTCTAAAAAGTGGTTCAAACCATTTTCAATCATTTGTAGCCATTATATGTAACGAAATACATTTTCTTTATTATAATTAAAGACTAAATGTTCAGGTGCTTCAGCAATATAGTTTTTGATTCTTTTATTTAAATATTATTGTAATTTTTAGTAATAATTACTTCTTTTATTTTTTGAGCTTTGTTTTTTACTATTAATGCTTAATTATACACTTTACAATTATTCACTTACAATTAATGGTATATTAGGTACAACTATAACATCGGATTCTCTGTGGCAACCAGATTTGTTCTTATTGAAATAAAATTTCTTTTCTATTCTATACGATATTGTATCATCTTCTGTGAACTCAATATCTACTTTTCTTCTGTACTGACTGAAAATAAAAATATAGTTTTAAATATCGTAAATGATAATTGTGGATACATGAATTAGTAATATAAACTTAAAGTTTTTATTTGTTTTGTAGTTGTTATGTTTCTGGATAAAAATTAATGAGACGTAGGTAAAATATCTAGTGTCCAGAAAAATATTATTATTAGTACTTCTCCATTTAGTCTCAAAATTAAACCCTAAAAGGTAAAGAATTAAGTAAAGAAAAAATAAATAATTAAGGATAGAGAAACTTTTATTTGAAGATTAAATTTTTCTTTCTTATTACTATTTTTCCGACTAGTATTTAAGGTGATACTTTGACTACCAGACCTATGCTCTACCAAGACACAGACTTTTAGTATAAAAAATTTTGTTATTGAAGTGAACAACATGGAGGTTGTGAGTTTAGAAATGTGAAAGAATAAAAAACTTGGTGCTTTTTTTAGTCTTTTTTACATTACCTATCTAGAAACAAGTCCTAACTTGACTTGCTTAAAAAATCTTGGAATTCAAGGAGAATTCTCTGAGGCGACCTTAATGTTAATTCAAAATCGTATTATTCCACCATAATTTGATTTGGACTCTGAAAAAAGTCCCTGATATTGAAAATAATGATTCTATGCTCATTTCCTTCCTCTTTTAGGAAGAAAATATTTTTCATCTTGCCATGGACTTTGCATACAAGTCCTTAAAACCCATTAAAAAAAAAAGTTTTGTCAACACCTGGATGATTCGGACACAAAATTTTAGGAACAAAATTCACTGAAATGGCTAGATAAAAGTTAAAGCAGCTAATTTAAGAGGAAATAGTGGAAATTAAAGTGAACACGTATATTGAATACTTTTTTTTTTTTTTTTTTCTGTGAACATTACATGTAGATCTTTTGCCGCCTTAACAAGCCTGCTCCATCTCTGCCTGTCTTGGGCTATTTCTTTCCATTTACCTGCACGCAGCTGTGTTGCATCTTTGTTGATTCTATCTATCTATCTGCTTTTTGGCCTTCGTGCGTACGTGGTCTTTTGCCTTCTATTGAGGCAGTCATTGTAATGTAGAGACTTCAAGATTGCTACGAGCTACATGCCCCGTCCATATCACGGGATATTTAGACAGTCCAATTTTCCGAGGCTTAGTTAAAGTTTCGTAATAAGTTGTTTTTTCCAGGATAGGATTAATAGGCCTAGATTCAATCCCCAACCTGGAGGACCAGGAGCTGTGGTGTAAGACGCAGGGGTCGCTCACCTCCCTGTGAATCTCTGGGTGGGAATGTTACCGTCCCCATGCGTGAATCGAACCCGTGCTGTAGTGGTCGAAGTAATCGCGTATCGCTTACGATTTTTATTAAAAAAAATTTTTTCTGTATATCTATTGCAATGTACACCTTTATTGGAAGTGGGTAAAAATGATTTAATAAATTAATGTTGAACAATTAAAAGGCAAGCTAATCTAGTTCTACTACTACAGGGAAAAGAAAATAGCTGCTCTGTAGTTTCCCAAGAAGGAAAATCCCAAAGAGGAGAGGAACAAGGGTTTTCGTTTTGGCAAACAGCAATTGGTGTTTGGCTGGAGTGAAGAGAGGACAGGAGAAGTGATCCTGGCTCCAGTGGGTAAAACCCAGTAATAGTGTTACCATCTTGGAAGTTGTTTTTGGCAGAACATTAGAAAGCATTTGAAGACCAATGAATTTAGTGCAACAAATTCAAGGGAGAAATAGTATCTATAGAAAAAAAGTTAGCTTGCCAATCCATATTTGACTTTATTTTAAAATCAAACAGTGTTCAATATAGTTAATGTTAGTATATCTGAGTGTTTTGATGTAATTGTCAGTAACCCACACCTGAGATAAATAAATATATTAATTCTCTTATAACTTTGTTTATTATTTAACAACCTCTTATTTATTTAGGAAGTACCCCAATGGTAACGAGTGAGCTTCCGAGGTTATTATTATTATTATTTGTCAAATATAAGAGGGATGTTATAATATATTTTTTTTTTTTGTTCCTGGGATTTGAACTTATGATTTTTTGGTTTCGATATTGAATACTTATGTTTTTAAAATAATGTTTGTTTTTCTTATCTTGAGATTTTGATTCCTGTGTATGAAATTGATACACATACTGTATATTCTTTATTTTCTACTTAGTTAGATAAAATATATATTAATTAAAATAAATATATACTCATAAACATATGGACCAAGCTCTTGCACAACTGGTTTCATCCCTTTGCTAACTTCATCTGGGTTAGTTACATTAAATATGAATACTTTAAATTCCAATGGTAAAGGAAGCGTTTCCCAAGCTTTCATACCTTCACTGCCATTGTTCAAGGCTATTCTCTGTAAATATAAAAAAAAATAATTAACATCGAATATTACTAATGGAAAAGCTCATAAATAGATAAACAAATCATTAATTAATTAAATAGAAATTATTGCTATACTACCTAGTTGGCCTATGCATACAATTCGTATGGTATATTGGTAATATACTATGGAAATAATTAAATACAATATATTATAACAGGAAAAATTAAGTTCTTTTTGTTTTTGCCGATTATAATAGTTTGTTATTTAAAATTATAAACCTGTAACCATCTGTAGAAATTCTAATCTTTGCTACTATTGGTCAGATTTCATTTTATTTTTGTTAAAAATTTAAGTAGACACTTTTGATATTATCATGAATATCATCAAACATCAGTTGTTTGCTTAGAGTTATACAGAAATAAAGTATTATTTTCTTCATAACTTTTTCCTCTCTCTTTTCGAAGGACTCTAATTATTTAGGCACTGAAGGAGATGATAATCCTCAAAATTATAGCTTTATCATTATGATTTGAAGAAATACTGACGGAAATGTAGCGTAATAAAAAAGAAATTATGAAATAATGTGTAAATTTTTATTCAAATAATCAAAATTTGTACCCCTAGACCCAATGGTCTCCAAACAACAGCTCGCGAACCGAATCTAGCCCGCGAAAGTTTCTTTGATTACATAGTAAAATTTAAAAAAAATCTGGTGCGGTGCGCGCATCATACAATTTTCACTTACCACCCTCTTCTTAGGAGAAATGAGTATTTTCAAACAAAGCGAAGTGAAAGTAAAATATATAGACTCTATATTTATTTATATTTCATTGTGGATATTTTTATTTGTATGAGTACCCTCATATATACAAACTTTAATATGTTTATCTCTGTTATCTATACAATTAAATATTAAATAATACCAACAATACAACATTAATGAAAACCAAATATGTATATTTATATAATATTGTCGGAGTCCATATTATATTAATCTCATGATACGTATGGAAGCGTGTTCTAATCTTTAGGGCGAGCTTGAGTGCGGTCGTATTCCTTTTGGTTCCTCAATTAGAACTATTCTCCGTTACGATCTCTTATTTCTCCTTTAGTTATTTATCAAATTCTTTCATATTTTATATTTAACCATTTTTCATATTATAAATTAATGTGAAATGGTCAATTGTTTCAAATAAAAAAAAAAAATAAAGGTACTTTAAAGGAAGCTAATATTAAAAATTAGGCATTTAAGCTCTGTTAGAGAACATCAATCAGAATAATTACTACATTTTATTTAAAACTGCTTAATTTTACACTGATATGATGAATTTAATCAAAATTGTTAGAGCGGTTTGCGAGATGATCGTAAAAATGTGTTTAGTCCATTATATAAAGTGCCACTTCCGGTCAGCCGATTTTGACGAAAACGATACTGTAACATCCCTAGCATATAAAAATGTTAAATTCGCAATTTCACTTCCGTGCGACTTTTCGTTTTTTAGCTAGACTATTTACACACACAGACCAATTTGCAGGACTTGGTTATTTGGACTCAGAGAACCTCAAAACGTGTATTTCCGTTGGAAACTCAGGTTCAAAAATTTTCACGATCGCAATACTTACCCTTACTATATATTACATACATATATAGGTAAGTGAAAGTAAAAATATGAAATTTAGCAAATTACTCACACAAGTGATTACTACAACATTTATTACATAAACTTTTTCTTTTAGACAGCTCATTTCAATTATCTCTGAATTCCCATTTATAGAACAAGATTTTTTTTTTCATCACAAGCTATAGCTCGCGGAACTAAGGCGGAGATCTTAATGCGGCCCGCGGGACTTTGGAGTTACATGATGATGACCAGAAAATTTTGGAGAGCCATGATCTTCAGGGATGGTAGATTGGGGCAAGATCTGAAAACTGTTTTTCAGTTTCAAGTCCAGGCCTTTGTTAACAATAGTATCTATCTAGTTTATCGGGCGATTTGTGAATTGGGACCAAATTGGTTACACTGTTTGAATGGTATTAATAATTCTATATATTTTTAAAGCGATGTTCTGTTTTAATTTCTTAGGACTCACTAAAAGTACCTTATTTCGCTTAGCACAAATCATTAAACTTTAGCAAAAAATACAGGCAAACCAGCTATAAATAAAAAAAAGATGATTTTTTTCCTTCTACTACTATCTCATACAAGACATTATTAATACGATAAATACGCTAAAAATCTGGTGCGCGCTACACACGACTTTCACGTACCACATTACTTTGAATAGAAATTATTTGATAGCAATGTTGGGCTATTATAAAATTTGTAACCGAGCTAAAGCTTCAAGCTTACAGCTAAAAAATCACTAACATCATTAAAATAACAAAAAATCCTATAATATATCAACGGTTGATTATGGATTGTACGATTTATAGTTATTTAGCTGTTATTTTCCATTGCAAAGTTTACTAAAATGGAATTACGAGATTTGCATTGTCTGCCATAGATAGGTCAAAAGTTGTTAATTGCATGTGGATGTTTTATGTAAAGGATGATTTTTCAGAATAAACGGACCATAGATACTTAGTTATTTAAATATAATATCATATCTAGAGTTATTAAACTACAGCAAATGTATTTAAGGTAATAAACATATCCATGAAATATTTTTATATTTCACTTCTTCTTTCACACAAATACAATGAAATAATATTTTAAACAATGTCATTGCCTTGATTTGGTGGATTTTAAATACTTTTTTTCAAACTTAAAAAAAAATTATAATTTTACATTTAGTAAGAAAATTTTATTTAATTTCCTAGGAATCATGTGATTTACGTTAAATAATGTTAGTTTAAAAAAAAAATATTTTTTTTCGTCACTCTCCTTTACCTTCTACAACTCTATTTATTAGATATTATTTTTTTCTAAAATTCTTCGCTTTCCAACGATATATTATACGTATACCTTCTGATTATTACTTCCGGAGATTCATTTTCGACACGTATAAACATTTTTTTTTTTTTTATTCAATTATCAAATTCTTTCAAAATTTATATTTAGTATTTTTTCGTAACTCCTAACAGTGAGATATAGTTAATTGTTTAAAATAAACCAAATTAAAGTTACTTTAGAGGAATACGTGTTGAACATTAGGCATTCAAGTCCTGTGACATCGATGGGGATAAGGCATCTTTTAAAGACCATTTAATTATACATTGATACAGCGAGTTTAATCAAGATCGTTAAAGCATTTTTGTGAAAATTGTTAACATCGTTTTGTAAAGTGTTACTTCCTGTAAGTCGATTTTAGGAAAAAGTTGATGTAACATCTCAGGCCTACACTTAACTGAAATATGCATTTTCAGTTTCGTACGATTTTTTGTTTTTGAGATAAACTGTTCAAACACAGACATTTTTGTGGGACTTGGTCATTTGATCTCAAGGTACCTTACTATATATTTCATATATATTTACGTGAAAGTAATAAAAAATAGCAGATGTGATTTTCTTTTTTTTAGTTGAGGATTAGTGCTTATCTATTAGAGAAATTAAATTTTTTTCCTATCTTTTTTATGTGAAGTGATCATTTCATTTCATATATATTCGCTAAGCTTACATACAACATGCGAATTTGCTGTTGATATATTTTTATTTTTGTTTAGTGTGTACATTTTAATTTATCCTCAACCTCTTCTACCACACATCTGTGTGTGAAGATATGTATATTTTTTTTTTATTTTAATGAAATTTATAACTGTATTATATGAAAAATACAACAAGTAAATGTAACATTGGTAACATGTACAACATGAAGAGAAACTACCCATTGGTAGAACTCAAATTAAAGTTCTATATTAGAAGGTCCCGAGGCCATCTTCTTTTCAGATGCCTCGGAGGTTTATCAAGGATCGAGGAGGGAACAAGAGGGTTCGGATGGTTCTGGAGTTTGTTATGGAAGGATAGGTATCTGGAATGGGCCAAATCGGAAACATATGGAACATTAAGGTCTTTATGGATGATTTTATTTGCGACAAAGTAAGGAGCGTTGAGGATTTTACGAAGGATTTTGGATTGTGAGGATTGGATGCGAAAGGAATTCGATAGTTTAGTGGAGCCACAAAGCTCAATTCCGTAAGTCCAAATAGGTCTTATTATTGTCATATATATGAATCGTTTGTAATTGATTAAAAGCTTAGATCGTTTGTCTAGTAAGTGATGCAGTAGTCGAAAACGTCGGACGGTTTCTAGTCGTTTCAGTATGGGGGTTCCAGTGTATAAATTGAAAAATAAAAATATTTATGGTATAACAGATCTTGTGACTAGAAGTAATCTTTTTTTCTATATAACTTTGCTATCCTTAAGGGATTTATTCGTATAATAAGGTAATTTTTCTATTATTCTATTATTATAGTATATATAGAATATTATACATACCGCTTTGATCTGCTCCTGGAGAAGGTAGGGGAATCCGGCTATGCCGAAGTAGATGGAGAGGACGATGATGATACATCCGGCACTGCCGGTGTATACCACCCGGCCCAGTCCTCGCAACTCCTGTAGGCCTTTCATCTCCAATCCGGCTCTGGCGTCGTCTGAGTCTCTTCGGCAAGTCAGAGATCCCCTAGAGGTCGTGGGGGAAGTCAATTAGAATGGAAACAACACATTAGCGGTGATTAGGTACCATTGCCGGAATTATAGAGAGTATGGGAACTTGGTCCGACAATGGACCTCTTCCACGGATCTCAATATTCAACTGTATCATTAGCTTTAAATATAGTTAACATATTTGTGTATTAATTGTTATACATCAAGAGTGATGCACGAAATAGTAGTTTAATATCTTTTGATCGTGGTAGCAATTACTGTATAATTTTTGTATTCATGGATAATAAGGGAAGTAAGAAAAAAAAATCACAGCTTTAGAATAATTTTTATCTATTTTACCAATAGCTCAGTCAAATAAGATTTAAAAAAAGGAAAACCTCCAGATATAAAATTGAAATTTTGCATGAAGCTTAATTTCGATATCCATTCGAACTCCAATAAAAATAGAGAGGGGGCGAGAATATCATTTCGTCCCTCACCTCCCCCCCAATATTTCGATGTACAAAAATAAAATAAAAACCAATAACGATTAATTTTAATGAATATATAAAGAATGTATCTACTAAGAAAATATTAAAAGTTCATTAGATGGCCACGCTAAGTCCTAGAAGTAGGTACGCTAGTATTTTATCACGCCCTATCTTCCTATTACTGATATTTCAGTTTATAATCAAAGATAATATATTTATATATTATATATATATATATATATATATATATATATATATATATATATATATATATATATATACACACAAAAGCTTGTTTTTTAATATAGTTTTATGTAGTAAGAGTATACGTTGTAACAGTTATTTTCAAAGTAGGTTTTTTTTTTTTATCATTTTTCGTTTTTCAAGTATATGCAGCAACAAATTCTAGCGTTTTATGATTCATTCATATGGACCCTTCTATTTTTATACGTGAAGATTTTAACACATTTCTCGCTGCAAATTTGAAGCATTGAAGACTTGAGATTTCATCATCTCACTACCTTAAACCTTTAAATAAAAATATGTATTGTATTAAATTACTGTGTTAACAGTGATGGGCATATCAAATATAACCATTGGAAAATAAACAAAAAATCAATATATAAACACACACACACACACACACACACACACACACACACACACACACACACACACACACACACACACACACACACACACACACACACACACACACACACACACACACACACACGCACGCACACACACACATATATATATATATATATATATATATATATATATATATATATATATATATATATATATATATATATATATAAAGTTCGTTTTTTAATATAGTTTTATATTTTAAGAGTATACGTTGTAACAGTTATTTTCAAAGTAGGCTTTTTTTTTTTTTATCATTTTTAGTTTTTCAAGTATAACCAATTCATATCCGTTAAATGTAAACACGAATTCTCCCTCGTATGATATAAAAAAAATTTTCATTTAGTAATTTAAGTTCAAATCGTTCCAAGACTTAAGGGGGTCTGGCTGAATAATCTGTGGGCTATTAAACTGAAAATAGGTCAAATTTCTCGCTCAAAAATTCGTTACATATCGATAAAAGATCAATATTACCCTTCTTGGGTCCGTAGTTGGTTAATTAAGACAAGAATTTATTATTGATATATAATTGTATTTGTATAAGTGAATGGCTTATATTGAAAATGAAATATGGAATATTGATTAAGTGATATACTTGCGTGATGGTGGATCAGTATCTCATTATAATTATTTCGCGACACGTAGCTTTGGGGCAGAGTTATGTTCACTAAGCAGAATAGCATTACGGATATTTTTTCTATTTAAGCTAGGGCTATGGTGTTTTATTATGAGAATAAATCGCTAAAATTTGCACCTAACTCAAAAGTTTTCTTGGAAATTTTATTTTAAACCATGTTTGAATGTAATCGTATATTTTTTTTTAAACATATTTATTGAAATTTTCAACTGCATTACATGAAAAATACAAATAAATTAGAAATTGGTTACATGACATGTACAATCCGTTCGTTTTTTTTTAGTAAAGCTCCAAAACTCGATTCCGTAAGTCCAAATAGACCTTATTATAGTCATATATATATATATATATGAGTATTTTATAAATAATTGTAAGTTTAGATCGTTTGTCTAGTAAATGCTGGAGTAGTTGGTTTCTTGTCCTTTTAGCTTGATAAGCCACGTTCCAAGTGAGTCGTTTGTTTAGGTAGAGTGTATAAATTATACACTATTATTATTATTATTAAATTATACACACGTTATAATGGAACGCATCGTGTCATTAATGAAATATTAGTATCAAATAAAACTCATAAAATTATTATTTATATTCTTAAGTAAGGTAAATGGGGCAATATTCATCAATAAAACAGTTTGAATTTCTCAAGCACTTTGAGCCATGCAAATCTTTTTATCCATGGAACTTATATTTTATATAAAGCAGTAGTAAGAACATAATTTACGGTTCTAGCTAATTTAAAGGTGCTTTCAGAGTGAAGCCTCCCAAAATAGAAAAATGAATTTCTTTCGTTGGTTCATATTTTTTTCTATGTATAACAAGAGTCTTAATTCTTAATAATACCTAAACAATTATAATATGTTCTCTTTTTAAAACATAAGGTGTGTATGTCAGCTACTAAATGTAAGCATGTAACAAGAACAAATTATCGCTTAGAGGATTTTGGTGCTATGTTTTTTTTTAAATTTATTTATTGATTATTACAACAATCTGTCTCTTGGACATTACTTATAGTGAGGTAGGATAACATTCACACTATATGTACAAAAAATATATAAAATAAATAAAAGCAAAATAACAATTCACCGCAGATATTTCTGTCCATCCCGATACCCTCCGGGCTACATTCGCTGATGATTCCACTATCCTTTCAACCAACTCAAGATTCTAAAATAGCGTCATTAAACTTACAGAGGGACCTCTCGCTGATTAAGCACTGGTGTAAGAAATGGCGCATTAAGATAAACTAATCCAATTGTAAACACATTAACTTCACCCTTTGTAGTAAATCCTGTTCACTAGTTTATTTTAACACCATCCAGCTTCCTTTCCCAGATACAGTCCTGTATCTTGGCTTTCTCTTAGACGACTAACGTGGAACCCTCATACTAGACTTTAAAGACAGGAACTTAGACGACAATACGTCCAACTATACAGACTTCTAAACAGGAAATCTAAACTTTCTATTGAAAACAAGTTACAAATCTACAAGACAATAATGAAACCTATTTGGACTTACGGTCTAGAACTGTGGGAAACAGTAAAATTTTCTAACATCTAACGCATCCAATCCCTCCACTCTAAGTCCTTCGAACAATAGTCGATGCTCCTTTCTATGTAACCAACCCTACATCATGACCTCAACATCCCATTTGCCCTTGACCTTATCCCAGAAAAACTCTCCAACTTTGGTGCTGTTAAATAAAATAATTATGGTGAATCCTAGTATGATCGATTTGTGATAAAAGGAATGTATATAAAAGTAAACAAGCTTAGAATTTGTGTTTTTATAAGACTATGTAGGCATACCAGCAAAACTTTTTATCAACAACCTACAAGCTATAGTGTATCTACATTAAACATTTACAAATTTTTTGTTTTGTTTATACGTGTTAATAGAAGAAATAAATGGTATACTTTTCAGAAAATATTATTTGTTCGTATTTTAGTCCGTGGTACAGACCCCTTTTTATTAAATTATTAACATCCACTTGAAACTTCGTGAATAGATTCATCTCATCGTAACCTACAACTATTTTATTTACGAAAATACTGGAATTGGGGTGTTTTCAATCTGGAGATCGGCAAACTTTACCTATTTTATTATGTACTAAAAACTCGTAAATACCCATTTGTTTTCTTCTTGAATCGCAAGATAATTTGATCACAAAATCGAGAAAAAGGTTGGCCTACAAAATTATTTGGCCGTTTCATCTATCTAAATTAATTATTTTGAAATTTCGTTGAGGTCTCGCGGCCAAATATTTTTAAAGGTTGATTTCGTGCTAAAATTAATTTATGATGGGTATTTACTTACTTAATTGGGTAAGTAAATGGGTATTTACGAGTTTTTAGTACTTAATTAAATAGGTAAAGTTTGCCGATCTCCAGATTGAAAACACCTCAATTCCAGGATTTTCGTAAATAAAATAGTTGTAGTTTACTAAGAGGTGGAGCTATTCACGAAGTTTCAGGCGAATGTTAATAATTTAATAAAAAGGGGTCTGTACCACGGACTATTATTTCTTGTAGACTAAACATATAACATGTTTAAATTATATAAATAAAAACTTGAGTGTAAATAATTAAATCTTATATATTATTTCTAAAAGGTGTTGTTTTGTCGGTACGCCACAACTCCGATGATTGACTACTCATTTTGAAGATATTCTCCTTCTTCATATAAGAAAAATAGCCCTAACCCTCCGAAATTTCTGAGGGAAAAGTTATGAAGGAAAATAAACTTTATTTGCGATTAACTCAAAAAGTATGAATTTTTTTCTTGATAGTACCCATAATTATTAGAAAGATAATACATAGAATGTTATTTCCATATTGTTTTATTCTTCCTTCGCTAAACAAAATTGTCTGCGAATTAATTGAACGGGTCAACTAGTTATATTAATAATACATTTGATCTGAAAATAGAATAAGATTTTTATTGTTACCTCAACTTGGATAGTTATTTAGTATATTTTCAGGTGATGGTTAACATATATGGTTTAATTTTTAAAATTAACACATTCAGTTGATAAAGTAAAGCAAATTCTAATAAATCCAATGCCTGAATGTTTTGGGCTTATTACAAGTTATTCACTTTAGTAATTTATTTTTTATAATGACAAAATCCTCCTGGGACACACCCAGCCTCTATAAAGTTAATTAATTAAATAATTAAGGGAGAAAACCCGGCGGTTGAGCGTTAGACGGTATTTCCATATAAAGTACTGAACCCAAGACCCTTCATGGGTTTTAGTGGTAAAGGGTTTTTATAATAACAGTAAGATTGTAACGTAAAGGTGCGTTTAGATATTTCACAAACTATTGCAAATACAAATATCTAAATGGTTGTTTCTCTATGGTAGTGTCCTTGTTTTTATGTTTTCCATCTGCTATCGATAACAAAAGAAATAAAAAACAAATGTTTGGCTTAGCGCTAATGTTGTTAATGTATCGCTATTAGTTAAGTTAAATAATTGTGTTTCCCATGGTTTGTGAAATGTATGAATGCACCTTAAATTGTATAGTTTACCGCAACACACAACTGCTATGTGGGTTAGTATGAACATAATTGAAGGCAGTGGGTGGGAATAGATTACAAAACCTATTATCTTATCTTTTAACTCCTCTGATGAACATATATTTGGTCTTGTTTAAGTTTGAGTAAAATGTGTGATAAGAATATTGTTCAAGTGGTTGTCTTAAAATGAAAATACGGGCATTTGATGACTTTTGAGCCGATCTCCCATCAGTAAAATAAACACAATCCCTGGTATCTAAACTCTAATGTATGTGCTATTGAGTATATTTGAGTTCTTCAAGGAGCTCTGGTGAAAAGAGCATCAAACGGAGGATTTCGGGCTCTTAATATACCAATAATGTATTGTCATTGATAACAATATTGAATATCAATGAAAAATATATTATTCAGCTTCTATAAATATGTTATACCGTAAGGGCGCTGAGTTATTTTTTAATCGTATCAATTACAGGGTACACGCTGAGACGGTATTTCATTTCCGGGATTATGTCAAACAACACAGACACACCTAACGGTGCTCCATGTGTTAGATAATGTCCATTGTATGTCGTAACCGGATGGCTTTTTGTTATTTCATAAATTATGAAATACCAAAAAGTAATATAGAATTATTAGTTTTTAGATTACCTGTTATGTAGCTAGTGTATTAATGTGTAATATTTAATTGAAGAAGAATTAATAGAAAGTAAATATAGATCTTTAGCCCCCTAAGAATAACAAACATGTACAATGACAATTACATTATAATATAAATTTGGCTGGCACACAATGGCTGGCAAATAATAATTAGGTTACAAAGTTGTATTATATTAAAATAAAAATAAAGTGCTACTCTAAATATACATTAATATGATGGAATTATAGGTATGTTGATGTTCATATATTTACATATTTGCACGGTAAGCAATACAAATAATAGTTTTGAATTAACAGTAGAATCAAATTAGTAACATAATTAATTCTTCTAAGGATTCGGAAATTGATGGCTGAGAAATAATTGGATTTTAAATGAAGTCAATGATGAGCTTTTGCGTATGGGTTTGAAAGTTTTTTCAAAGTGACCTGTCTTATGAGAAGGAATATACAGGTTTGTGGGTTGGAATCTTGTGTTGAAAGAATGGACAGAGGAACAAGGAGTGGACAAGTCAAACAGATTTTCTGGTTGCAAAAGATTCGGAAAATGAATACAGCTAGGAAATATTACTGTTGAGAAACTGAATTTAGCCACTTAAGCTGAAATTCCGACTGGAGACGCATCAGATGAATCTAATGAAAAAATTCATTAGCCTTTTCAGTCTGACCTCAACTCCACTAGACTGTCCACCGTCTACAAGGCAGTCATAATCGAAGTTGGGAAAAATAAGAGTGGAAACATGAAGCTGACGGGTTTTAAAACGGATAGAATCACGGAATCATATAAACTGTTTAAGAGTAACCATCGATTTTCTGATAATTTGGGAAGCATGGTGATTCCAGAACAGGTGTTGATCAAATATTACACCCAGGTTTCTAACGGAAGTGTGGAAGCGAATAGGTTAGCCATTGACATTATGAGGAGGATAATAAAAAAGGAATTAAGAAGATGCTTAGACCCAATGAGAATGGCTTTGTTCTTGTCAATGTTTAGCCTCAGATCATTGTTAGCTACCTAGCTTGAAGCGTTCGGGTTGCCTTAAGTATCTCAGAAGGATTAAATGATTGATAGATCTAAATGTTGTCAGCATATAGGTGATATTGTGAATGATGGATGGAATCAGGGAGGTCGTTGATATTAATGGAGAAAAGAGTTTATGAAAGAAATATTAATACGTATAATATATATTGCTTCATCTCATAAATTTCATAGGATTCGTCTTTGGAACTCCCAGGCGTTCCGATTTTTCCAGTTTGTACGCCGAGATCAAGTGTTTCTATCCTTCTTCCATACGACAATTCCTTTTTGATGTTTTCCGTTTCCAAGTTCTCAGAACCAAAAATCCTCCCTACAGCTTAGAACTCCTTACTCTAGGCTTCTCTAAACACTGTGGTAATACCAAATATCATCTTATAGATCTATATATCTCCTCCTTATGGAACTCTTTGTCTATCTTCATACGTATAACCACGTCCACAAATTCCTTCTGACAACTCCTATGCCACCATCTACTCCACATTCAAATTTCCGCAAGCTTGTAAGAATTTTTATGTGATTACAATTGCTTAACAACAATTAATTGATAAGAGCCATTTTATTTTTATTGTTATTTATTTATTTATTATATTATTTCTACATACCAGACTGATGTACATATTTCTTAAACCCTGTTACTTTTAGGGTACTTAAGTCCCAAATTTACATTATTTTTCATTTCATTTCAATTTCATAGGCATGATTATTCTTGCTCTTATTAAATCTATCTTGTTAAACTTGAATTCTTCAAAGCTAAAAGAGAATATAAAGATACATTTTATTTTATTTTTTATGATATTTAAAACCCGAACGGTTATTTTCTAAATATAAAAGTGTGCTAGAAGAGAGAACGAGTGTGGTGGCATAAAGCACGAAGCGAAGGACAGACCTTCAGATCTCAGACCTCACTAACCTCTCGGTGGGACAGGTCTGGGACCAGGTAGTTAGCATACTTTTTGTAGCCACCTTTCATTCTTTTTTTTTTTTTTTTTTTTAATTCTTGAGAATTCTTTTCGTTAAAAGTTACCTCTATCCTACTTGTTACACATTTTAAATCGTAGTATAATATATCTTTTATCTAGTTAAATATTTTGTATAACAATTAATATATGTTATGATTGGAAAATACTAATAATTGTATATTTTCTATCTTTATGCCCATTTTGTACTATTAATAGAAATCAGTTGAAAGCTCACCAAGAGACAAGCTATACATATTGCACAGAAGCTGGATAATGGTGTTAATTACTGTACTTGAATAATTTTTATTCGGAAACGTTGAGCACCTTTGATAAGTCAAATAACTCTAGGTATTTTTTATTTTTTTTTTATTTTCAGCTATATTTATGATAGCCTTACTTTGATGTGAATTTTTTTTTCTCTCTCATTATTACCTTTTTACTTCGTAATTTTGAATTTATTTCTGTAGCATATTTATGGATTTTGGTTGGATATTGCATGTTTATTATCAGTCTTGATCACCTGTTTGATTATAACCTTTTTAAGCTGTGTTATCTTACCTTCCTTCCAGAATGCGATTGGATGTTAGGGAGTGTTGTGATATTCTATTTGGTTTTCTCCAGTTTTACCACAGTCTTCCATCCACTTCTCTTGATTGAACTTTTGATTTTCGGAAATCCGACAACTACGTCCATCAATAATTCGAGGCGAGGTATATAGAAACGGTACTGCTGCTGTTCGAAGATATCGTGAAAAATTTCCTAATCGAAGAATATCAAAGCGTAAAACGTTTGAGGGCATAGAAAGACGCCTTAGTGATAATGGCACGCTAAAACCTATACGGGTAATCGCCGTTCGACAAAGATTTCGACGAACTGCAAACGTCCAAGAAGAAATACTCAATGCTGTTCAGTTATCTCCTACTACTATTACCAGAAGATTGTCGTGTCGTTCCGATATTTCCTCTACCAACGTATGGCGAACTTTACACGAACAACAATTGTATCCATTTCACGTATCGAGTAGGCAAGAATTGTTACCACAAGATTATAACAAGCGCAGAAATTTCTCCCAGTGGTCAATTCGACAATGCATATGAGATCCTAACTTCCAGAACTGCATTTTGGTTACTGATGAATCTTGCTTTACAAGAAACGGAATTCCTAATTTTCGAAATACTTGGGCTGAAGAAAACCCTCATACGACTGCTCATGGACGTTACCAACATACCTTTTCTTTAAATGTCTGGTGTGGTCTTCAAAGCGACAACATCATTGGCCCCTTCTTTTTGCCACCTAAGCTGTCAGGCATATCTTATTTGCATTTTTTGCAAAATAATCTTCATGTACTCCTAGAAGATATTCCGCTAGGCATTATGCAAAGGCTGTGGTTTATGCATGACGGTGCTCCAGCTCACTTTTCTGATAGTGTCACTGATTATTTAAATGCAACTTATGGAGACCGATGGGTTGGTCGAAACGGACCTATTTAATTATATATTCCAGATTTAACAGATGTGTGGAGCTGGATGAAGTATACGGTTTATTCTACGGCAGTTGGCACGCAAGAAGAGCTAAGACATCGGATCGCGAAAGCCGCAGTAACTATCAAGCACCATCCTGATGCTATACGAAGAGCCAGAAAGCATGGATTTGTCGTGCTGAATGTTGTATTCAACAAAACGGAGGCCCCTTTGAACAGTTACTCCAAATGTTGTAATAATGATAAATAAATAGTAATAATAAATAACAAATCTTTAATCTTTGATATATGTTTAATAAACGAGTTTAAAATATATGGTAATATGAACATGTTTGTTTATTTTGTGTTAGTGAATACATACCTAAAATAGTGCCGTGCAATTACGAAACACCTTGTATATATATGTGTGTGTGTGTGTGTGTGTATAAGGTAGGGTGGGCTGGGGAAGCTATCTGGGCTAAGGAGCTTGCTATAGGTTATCGAAGTTAAGCAACGCCAAACTTGGATGGGTGACATCCCACGCTGCCCGTGATTCCTCCTCCCCCCCCCCGGGTATGTAAAGCCCGTCAGCCTACTGGAGGCAACTCACACAGACCGGGTGTAGGATTGATGACCCTACCCCGTACTGTAAATCGGGAATCTGGATGTGGTCTAGGAGACCATATCCCGCGGTCAAAGATCTTCATGGTCTCAAAAAAAAAAAAAAAAGATATATATAATTTTTGTGTATTTAAAGGCATCAATCATCAGAGTCATTATCGCCTTATTTCGTTAAATATTGAATTTCATTATCCAATTTTACACGATTCAGAAAATGAAAGAGTTTGTCAACAGTATTCGTATTGACTCATAAAATGTAGGTCGTTTGGCTAGCCACAAGATATTCTAATTGATTCCTATGTTCGGCATTCTATCAGAAAGAGTTTTATAGTCAGCGAAGTTCCACAAGTTTCACACGTAGGAGGAGATTCGCGAGCCATCAGGTACACATGGGTCAGTGTGTGACCTACTCGCTGGCGCCTAACGATCACTCTCTGCGTTAATTTATGTTCGACTTTAACCAAGAGAAAATATCACTTTTAATTTCTTGAATTTATTTTCAGTAACACCTGACCACATTTGTTTCCATTTCAACTTAATTTTTTTAATTACAGAAATAAAATCCTCAACAGGTACTCCCCTCCACCCCCCCATAAATAATGTCCTCCGCAACGACTTTTTTGGTCGCCCTATCTGCTAGTTCATACCCCGTTATTCTGCCGTGTCCACGGGTACAAACGAAATATACCGACATGTGATTTCCTTGTGCAGGTTTTAATGAGTACAGTATATTTTGGATGATATAATTAGTTGTGAAGATATTTCTTAAACTGAGTAATGATGATAGAGAATCGGTGCAGGGAACCTTTTTTTTTTGTTGTGGAATGGACAAAATTTAGGCTTTTGTAAATTGCAATTATTTTGACTGTATAATTGCTACATATTGGTGACAGAAAGAATAAATGTTGTCATTGCACACAATCGCTGCTCCTACACCTACGTAACTCTTGGACCAATCAGTGTAAATAAAATCAGAAACCCCAAGTCTGTCTTGTATTTGTAAAATTCATGTTTTATATATATATATATATATATATATATATATATATGGTAAAGTTTTGTTTTTAAGAAATTTTGTAAGGGAAATATTGATTTTTGGTGTGGGAAGTCCCCAAGGATAAATTGGTAAAATTTCCTTTTCCTGCAAAGTAGATCATTCAATGTTTAACTTGTATAATAATGTTGAAACTCTAAATGCAAAAGATACTCTATTATATAAAAGCTTATATTTAAAATGACTCAGCAGGTAGATTTTATTCTCAAACCACTAATCATTGCCCATGAAATATAGGGTCATTAAGTATCCAATAGAAATATTAAAGAAGTTATAACTATTCTGTTTGATAGACGTTTATGTTTATGGCTTCTTATAATCTACTAATGATGATGACTTTCGATTATTCACAATTTAAAAAAAACTAAAACTAAAAATTAAGAACAAATCAGTTGACCATGATGATCAGTTCCATCACAGGTTCTGTGATTCAAAGTAAGGATATATTAGAAAAGAAGTTTTATTATGAAACTTTAAAATTTGATATGCATTTCTTAGCTAGTCATTTCAAGAGAAGACCCTGGTACCAAAATGTCAAACGCTTGAGGAACATCTAGAAATACGCCAGTTGCCTATTATTTGTGCTCCAGTGCCGTTAAACTACTGTTGCCCAAAATCGGTCTTGGTTTTTTGCACTTTGGATTTTGGGCATTCATGTTCCTGTAATTACATTTAATAGAACTTCAGGAACCACTTAAACACCATTTCATATAGGTAGTTAATTTCTTTTTTTTTTTTTTTCAAATTAATTATCGTTATATGTATATGAAAAAAAAAATCTTTCGGGCTGAAGCCCCCCCGCCTTAAAATTAAATCCTGGATCCGCAAGTGTCGCCTAACAATTAATGTAGATATCACGCAAGGAGGTGCCGCTGGGTATTGCTTCTATTCACTAGTGGATTCAGGAATTAACTGTGGGGGAGGCTTAAGCCAGAAAGCTTTTTTTTTTTCATAAAAATAACGATAATTATTTTGGAAAAAAAGAAAGAAACTATCTATATGAAATGGTGTTTAACTGATTGCTAAAGTCCTTTTAAATGTAATTACACTAACAATAATACTTTAAGAGATAATTTTTTTTAATTAAATATGGTTCTATTTTACTATTCTGTAATAGTAAAGCCCCAAAGCCTCCCTCTTCCCGCCCCCCGTAGATCTTCCCGTGCTTCTTCTCAAGCATTCTATCACAAACATAAATTTCACTGTTTGTTAACATTTTTTGATAGGTGTGAATTAAGATTATCAGGTAATCTAAGAGGGAATTTATAAAGTGTGGATTGTATTTCGGAAATTTCTAGAACGCTTTTACTGAACCACTATATGACGCCTTGAACTTAACCTAGAAACTTTTACGAGCGATAGAGAGCGCGGGTGAAGTCTAAATCATATTAAAAGGGAAAGCGGCAGTGAAACCTCTCAACTGGTTCGAGTGAGAGGAGCCAGTGAACAGTAGCGAGTGAATGAGTGTGACTGAACCGAAAACGTGGGCAGTGCCATCACGGCACAAACGGGAACTGCAACGGATCGGGATATCTTTAATAGGAGAAATGGTATTTTTTTAATACACGAGAAAGCCAATAATATTAAGTTGGCTCTCTGTTTTATCTGTCATTTTCTAGATTTAATAAAATAAAAACCTTAAGAACAAGTATACATATTTAAAAAAAACAACAAAAAAACTTCAGTATGTGCTTTAGACCACACCGATAGTAGTGAAAACAACAACAAAGCGAATAAAATTTAAAATTCTTTTTGTTCTATATTCACATAATTAATAATCTTTAAAATATATACAATTATAATTATGTCTAAATTACTCTAGTAAACTTTACTCTGACCGATCGTCATTTGTATCATACTCTAAAAATGATACAATATATTTATGATAACTAAAATATGTGATGAATACTTTTGATCTCAGGTGAATCTACGAGGGGGAGAACTTTCGGGCTGAAGGACCCCCAAAATTAAATCCTAGATCCGTTAGTGCTTTTGATTGAAATCTATTTGCTATAATAGATCTAACAAAAACTTCGTAATTTTTTAAATATAAATTCTGTAACGGTGGTCAGTAATTTTATTGTACATTTTTTTCAACGGTTCCCTATTATAAGAATGGATCTGTATATAGATGTCACTTAGTAAATTTTTCTAATCCTAATATCACCTTTGCATGAAAATAATTTATGTAATAAGCAGGTTTATTTATCCAAGTAAAAAAAAAAACAGAGTTTTATAATAATTAATAAACTAAGAAAAAATAAATATTTTTCTTGAATAAAAATTGAAGTAATTATTACTTTAATGAATATTTATTTTTAAGATTTTCGTTATGTTAAATAAAAAGTGTATTTATGAAATTATGTTTATTATAATACATGCCTGGTCATGGAAAAAATTAAAAGCTTAGCAATAATTTTTGTAGTCAATTTTTCAGAAAACACGACTATTTAGTGAATTAATATCAAACCACATAATATTTTTACAACTTGGGTTTTTCTTTTTTTTCTTTTTTTTTTTTTTATTAATTCAGAAATATCTATTACAGGGACAATAATTATACTGAGATATGAACACTTTCAAATCATATATACAGAAAACAAAACAAAAAAACAGAATAAAAACTAAATAATAATCAAAAAGTATATACAATAAAATAACTTAAGTAAATTATAAACATAAAAACTTGAGATGAACCTTAAGTTATTTTGTTTTAAACTCTCAATTTAATCAGTATGGACTTAAAGCTTAACAAACAGGTTGTTAAAGTGGAGTATTTGTTGTATATTTGGAGGGTAAAAAATAATAAGTCTGGAATAATTAATTTTATTTTTTAGAAACAGAAGTTAGCTTAGTTTGGCCGCTCAAAAGTCCTCTTTAAATAGTTCTACCAGTGACAAACTCTATTTTATGTTAAAATGAATTTTGTATTTTACAGTGAAGCAATTGTTAATTACTGAGGTTAAATATTTCATTCGTTATCGCTTCCTATTCAATTAAGAAATTGAATGATCTTTTATATAAACTTTTTTTAGCTATTGAAATCCACTATCACCACTCTAAATATTCGTCCTTAATTACAGTAGACCCTTTATATTTGACGGG